TCACAGCTCACAGCAATCTCCAACTCCTGGGCTCAAGCGAGTCTCCTGCCTCAGCCTCCCAAGTAGCTGGGACCACTGGTGCCCGCCATGATGCCTGGCTATTTTTTTTGGTTGCAGCCATCATTGTTGTTTGGCGGGCAGTGCTGGATTCAAATCCGCCCCCTTAGGTGTATGTGGCTGGCGCCTTAGCCACTTGAGCCACAGGCACCGAGCCTCAGTCCTGATTTTTATGACATGAACTACCCTATGCTGTTAAAGTTACTGCAGCACTTGGTAGAAAAGTTTCACACTAACGGTAATGGCAGCTAGTTTTACTGCAAGTGTAAAGCAACTATTTTAAAATAGGCCTTGGCTCCCCATGAGATGCCTCCTCTTACCTGTAAGAATGGAGCCACTTAAAATAAAAATAAGGTAAAATAAAATAAGAAACAGAAAATAACAAGTGCTGGAGAGGATGTGGAGAAATGGAAACCTTGCACACTGTTGGTAGGAATTAAACATATGTAGCAGCCCTCAAAAACAAAATAGTGTTTCCTCAAAAAATTTAGAACAGATTACCATACGATCCAGCAATTTTTTTTTCTTTTCTGTTTTTGTTTTTATCTAGCAAGTCTATCAATATTTCTGAGTAGTGAAAACAAGGCTCAAATGGCTATCAGTACATCCACATGTATAGCTGCACTATTCACAGCCCTTCACCTTCAACAGATTAATGGGTAACAAAATGTGGTATATCCACAAGATGGACTTTTATTGTCTTAAAAAGGAGAGAAATTCTGATATGTGCTACAACAGGGACGAACCTTACGGACATAAGCTAAGTCAAATAAGCGAGTGTTAAAAAGACAAAAACGGTGTATTTCCACTTACATCGGGTGCCTAGAGAAGTCAAACTCAGGGAGGCAGAAAGCGGAGGGTGTTGCCAGGGGCTGGGGGAGAAGGAAGGAGGGAGATGCTTAGGACTTGGGATATAAACACGATCAGGTTTGAATTTAGCCACTGGTCTGCTGCACTGGCTGGGATGGAGATGGTTTTGCTGGGAGCACCAGAATGAAATGACATGCTTGGGCATCTGTCTCCCGGCTTCCTCCACCATAATGTGAATTTCTGGAGGGCATGCGAGGTACTGTTGATCTAAATCTCTCCAGCGGGTAAGGGCCTCAACCACTACCTGTTGATGACCTCACTCTTTCTACCATCACCATGTTTATAAATATTTATAACCTATGCATTTTTTCCCAAAGACTCTTCCTGATAGGTTTTTTTTCAGATTCTTCTTATGTATTGTGGTAAAGTACAGGAGACATAAACTTTACCACTACAGACATTTAGTACATTCACAGTGTTATGTAAACATCACTTCCATCTAGATCCAAACACTTCCATCGCCCCCAAAGGGAACCTTGTGCCCCTGAGGAGTCACTCACTATTCCCTTCTCTCCCTCATCCCTGGAAACCGCTAATCTGCTTTCCATCTTTATGGAATTGCCCATTTGGACAGTTCACATAAATGGCATCACACAATCTGCGGCCTTTTGTGTCTGGATTCTGTCACTGAACGTTGTCCGGCTTCATCCACGTGGCTGCATTTTCTCAGGCCAGCACGCCTTTTTATAGTCGGATCACATTCCATCGTATGGCACTGCCCATTTTGTGTATCTGCTCATTGGTGTTTCCACACTTTGGCTACTGTGAATACAGCTGCTATGAAGATCTGCACGAAAGTTTTTGTTTGAACACCAAGTTTTAAATTCTTTTGAGTCTATACCCAGGGGTGGAGGTGAGGGGTCATATCTATGTTAAACTTATTGAAGAAACTGATGCATTTCAAAAACTAGACAAAAATCAGCCGACTAGTGGAAGAAAGTAGCTAATGCCTGCAGAGTGGAGACAGTTACGGGGGCTGGTGGAAGAGCTACCCAGTGGGGTATTGGTGTGCTCTGTGGGGGTGTATGACCGAGAGAGAGAAAAGAGAGATGGAGAGGAGGGAGAGAGAAAGACTAGGGGGAGAGAGAAAGGGGGGAGAGAGAGAGCAGCAGAGGAGACAGCAGCACTTTTCCCACAGGGCATGGAACACACATCTGATGGAACACAGAAGAACTCTAATCTTGGTGAACTGGGTTAACAGCGAGCAAAGTGGAAAACCGTTAAGGAGAAACGTAACCAGACAGGCACGACCCCTAGCTGACTCACACTCACATAGTTACAAGGTTCTGCACTAGGGCTCCCTTTGGGGGGCTGCCCCACAAATAACCATTACATACAGGACACTTCTGCACAGGCCCAGGCGTGAGCCCGTGTGCTGCCATCTGCATGTGTTTGTTCACATATAAGGCCTTCTCTTTATGGATAAAGCGAAGTGACCAATGCTCTAAGGACCAAGGTGCTGGGGCAGCCTCACAGGAAGCTGGGAGGCTGGGACAGGGCCTTGTGGCAGAACTCTCAAACTTCCTGTGTTCTGGGAGGATCACGGGGTTCTGTCAAGACTCGAATTAGCTGTGGGGCACCCAGCCTATGTGGCCTCTGTGGAGCAACAGTACACCCTTAACCTCGGATGGCTTCAACACTGGTATCTGGGGCTCCTTCTTTCCCCACCCCAACTCTAGACCTGGAGTACTGACTATAAACTTAGTGTAGAGCAGGAACGCTTTGATGAGATGACCACATTAAGATGGGGGATGTCACGTAACCTTGTAACCTGTGAGGAGGAATCTATCTAGTTAACTTACACTATGGTAATTAGGAACACTGACATGTTTGCTCCTATTCTGAGAGGAACAAAGGGAAGCAGGAGACACAGCAGCTCTCTGAGGAGAGACCCTTGCTGTTAGCCAGAACTGCTGGCTTTTCCGTAAATAAAATGGATAGTTGATCTCATCTGCTTCTCTGCTGACTGGCTTGAGTGACAGGTGGACAGAGTATTGGTCCCGCAACACTGCCACGTGGAAAGTTCTGTGACTGCAGAGGAGGCCGGACTCCATCTCCTCACGTGGGTGTCACCCTGTCCGAGGGCGTGAGCAGGCCTCATTCCAGGCTGCATGTAGTATTCAGAAATCTGTTGTTGCTGAACCCCTAAGCCATGCCCTCCAATACAGATACAGACACTTAGCTCTTTGATTCTTGTAAATATTTTACAAGATGGAAAAAGGGTACTGTATATTAACACCACCCCAACCTAAAGCCTCTGGTAACCTATGTAGTCTGTAGTCTGACTAAGCCAGACAGTCAGACATACCGTGTGGGACTTACAGGGCCCACAAGCACCAAGCACCATTGTGATATCTCCTGGGTTCGTCCTGTCCTCTGCCTGTGTGCCGTCCCACCAATGTGGAAATGAGACTTTCTCTCTCAGGCCTCTGGCCCCCACCCTCCACCCCTATGTCCACCACGTGCCCTCAGCACTCTAAGCCAGGGGTCTTCAAACTTTTTAAACAGGGGGCCAGTTCACTGTCCCTCAGACCATTGGAGGGCTGGACTGCAGGCCCTGGGATGAGTTGGCTGCTATGTAGGACAGGCAGCGGTAGCAAAAACACTCTGTGGGCCAGATAAATGTCCTAGGTGGGCTGCACGTGGCCTGCGGGCCATATTTTGAGGATGCCTGCTCTAAGCAATCGCTGCTTAAGATGCTAATTTCTCTCCTATCCACCTCAGGAGTGTGTGTGGTGTGTGCTTGGGACAGGCCCCTGTTCCTTACACTTTGTGGCCTCTGGTGCTCACGGGGCACCTGCTGCGTGACATGCAGTCCATACACAACTGCTGCACTGAGTGGGAGGGAGAGACAGACGTGGCACCTGTCTTCTCCAAGTGCTGTGTCTTCACGGTCTCTTTAAGCCCTAAGTGGACAAATTTCCCTCCGTCCACTTTTATACTGCTCCCTTCTTTCTCTTGCTCAATCCTGAGCAGTGACATTCACACATTATTAACAGAGCACACAAGGTCACAGCTCTCTACGTGTGCTGTCCCACAGGCCAGCAGAGAAAGACTGGCCCAGGCCGATCCCCAGAGTGCCCTATCGGAGCACAGAGCAGGCTACGTTCCCTCTGCTCTGTTGGAAGCTGAGCCTTGCAGAAGGGACTTCATCAAGGTCCCTCTGAAGGGATACAGTCAAAGAGCAAGTTCCTGGTTCCTGGTCTTGGGCTAACCCTAGACGCTAATGACTTTCCGATCAGGTCCAGAGATGTCTGCGATGAAGGAATATAGGGGGTGGGAACACATCTGACCCTCACTGCCCTTGTTGTTGGCTCTGCCCGCTTTTTACTGGCTCCTACCCAAGCTGACTGGCCCAGCACTGGACAGGAACCTGGTCTATTAACTAGTAGGCAGACTCTATCACTCCTACTCTTTAAGGCTGAACAGGTAAGTCAGGTAAGGCTCTCTTGTAGCCTCACCACGCCAATTAAATCAGGAGGCAGGCCCTCCCTGGGCTGTGATTCCCAGCCCTGGCAGTACACTGGAGTCACCTGGCAGCTTTCAGAAATACTGACACCTGCATCCCATCCTCGATATTTTGATTAGTTGGTGAGGATGTACCCTGGCCTTTGGGATTTTTAAAAGCTGCCTAGGGCATGCTGATATGTAACCAAGGTTGAGAACCACACATCTAAGGACATTCTCCATTTATGGTTTATAAGCGTTCTGAACTGGGGGGTTTCAGGTTCCTCCCCAGGTATAAATACAAGGCTCCTGTATCTCATTCTGCTGTTGTTTGGGGGTGTTTCGTTCCCTTATCAAATGCCCCAGGGAGGAGAGAGATGAGTAGTAAATTTAGGCATCCAAATATAATGCCAGAGTCAATCTTGGTGTTCTTGAAAAAAACCTTTAAATGAATCCTTAGGTATCAGGACAAATAAATGCTCTGAAACCTCCAGAAGTGTGCACAGCACTACATCCTAGATCCTTACAGTAGCAGAGCAAAATGATACCATCATCCTTCAGACATCTGTGACCAAAAAATGCAGACTGAGCACCTACTTTTGAGGTCTTACCAGGGTGGTACTTACTTCTGGGGATCTTGCTGGGGTAAATCTTCTGGCATGGTTTATACTCATCTGGAGGGGGGAAGTCTTCCACAGAATGGAACGTGAATTTGGACTCAAAGTCATCTGCACACATGGGAAATGGTAAGGTTTATTCAGGTTACTGTCATGACCCAGGAGCACACAGGTCTCTGACCAAATACACTGAGTTCTGTTTGGCTGCCGTGCAAAGAGTTTCAGGGCAGGCCATTCCCTACAGCAGTGGTTCTCAACCTTCCTAATAGGGTGACCCTTTAATATAGCAAGGAAATTAATTTTATGGTTGGAGGTCACCACAACATGAGGAACTGTATTAAAGGGTCACGGCATTAGGAAGGTTGAGAACCGCTGCCCTACAGACATCCATCCACTTGTTTTACTGGTTGGCTGGGGCAAGGAGGAACAGGAAACGGCAAATCCGCAGTCACTCTCCGTCACTCACCCCAATGTACCAACACGTATGGAAGCTGACACGGGGAGGAAGTGGCACAGGGCTCTCCTGCATACAGAGTCACAGCTGGGGACCCCGGCACTAATACGGAACCAGCAAAGTCCCAGCAGCTTGGAGCACCTTAACAGAGTGTTCAGCACTGTCTGCAGTCCATGTGGGACCTGGCTCCCCAAACCAAACAAGCTCCTGTTGGGGTCTGGTGGCCCTTTCATGGGCAGAGTTCCTGCTTTGTGATATAGGCTTTGTGTCTGACACTAGCCCAGCACATGGAAGGGATTTAGTCTGTGGCCTTACATCTGACACCAAGGGACCTTCCTTCCTACCTCCAGATTTTTGCTCTAATTGTCCCCTCCCTGGTGAGCCTTCCTTCTATCTCTTCCCTTTAATCTAAGTCACTTGCCTCTCAAGCTTATGCAATGATTTCTCCATGAAGACAGACAGACAGACAGACAGACACACAAATAGCTTAAATGTCAGTTTTCTTCTCTTTCTCTGATCTAAATCAAAAGGCTAAAAAATGGACCCTTAATCTACCCACAGAGCCTCGGGAGAAAGCTATGTAACAGAGCCTGTGGGCTGTTTGGTGCTGGAGTGAGCCCCCTGTCCACTGAGAAATGACAGCACTGTTGCTTGCAAACCCTCCAGAGGCCAGGGGAAAGCACAGCCAGCCTTGACCCCACTTACCCAGGATGTGCAGGCTTCCATTTCGTAGTTGACCTCCAGGCTGCTGTGCTGGGGTCCAGATGAGGGCCTGCTGGCTCTTGCTTGAAAGCTCTGTGGTGGGTGATCTTGCAGGAGGTGCAGGGGGTGGATTTAGCTTTCCCCCACTGGTCCCTTACAGAGAAGATGATGGTGCATTCAAACACAGGGATGGAGACCACTGAGGCTATAACCTTACATGAGAGGTTAAGCATTTTGATCTTGGGGTGTAATGTGATATAGTAAGTAATGGGGCAACCTTTGGAGCCAACCTCCTTGGCCCTGAATTGCAGTTCTCCCACTGGGATAAGTAAATCCTCATTTCTCCTTCCAGTCAACTTAAACTGCCATGCCCACAGGGCCCAGCTCAGTCCAACCTACTTCCTCAAGCCCTCCCTGATAGCACTGGAGAGAGGCCCACTCTCTTTTGCAGTAATTTTCCATGTGTCTCATTTGGCAATCCATAATCTGCCGTCTGACACATCAGTGCAGGTAAACACCTAAGTAATGAAAAAATGTAGGAAACACATCCAAAGGGCAGTTTTCATCTTGAGTGACATAATTATTAAAGGTCATTTCAATTCTCTTCTGTTGGCCCTATGACAAGCTTGTATTGTTTTTAATTCAAGAAAATATATTTAAGAAACTTTCTGCATAAAAATGTTTTCTGAAAGGAATATGTGTATGTGTGTGAGTGTGGCTGTGTGTGTTTATGTGTCTGAGAGGTGAGTGAAGTCTCATCACTCAATACAAAGTCGTCTGCGCTGCATAAATGAAGGAACTATTTTTAATATTTAATATCAACATAGAGGCCCCTAGTTTTCTTGAGTCTGCTGCAGAAGCTGTGTAAATGCAAATCCATTCTACTGAGGCTGGGGAAGATTCTGGCTGGGGAGACCTGGCTCTGGACACAAACCACACTCACACCTTCCCTCCATTTCTGGGAGTAGGTTCAGCATTGGAACCGTGACAGTCGGAATAACTCTTCTCTGCAAACCCACTGTGCCAGACATAGGAACTCAATCTTTGCAACAGCCTCCAGAGGTAGGAACTATTGCTCTCTCCTCCCATCTTACAGATGACGAGCAGGGAGCACAGAGAGGCTAAAAGGTTGCTTGTAGTCACACAGCAGCTAGTGAATGCAGGGTCAAGGTCAGAATCCTTTGCTTACCATCTGCATAATTTTCATTTGGGGCAAGTCTCCTGGCCTCCCTTCCCCTTAATACCTCCAACAACTAAGTTCCATGGAACCACAAGGTTTTACTTTTTATTTACATATTTTTAGAGACAGAGTCTCACTTTTGTCGCCCTTTTGTCTTTGGGTAGAGGGCTGCTGCATCACAGCTCACAGCAACCTCCAGCTCTTCAGCGTAGGTTATTCTCTTGCCTCAGCCTCCGAAGTAGCTGGGACTACAGGCGCTTGCCAAAACGCCCGGCTATTGTTTTGTTGCAGTTTGGTGGGGTCAGGTTCGAACCCGCCACCCTCGGTATATGGGGCCGGTGCCCTACCCACTGAGCCACGGGTGCCGCCCTGAACCACAGCGTTTTAATGCGCTCCACCAGGGCCACTGAATACCTCTGGTCTAAAATGCAATCAATCCTAGGGTTTGGGACATCCCTCCAGTTTCCAAGTGGCTCTCCGGTGCAGGCCACTCACTCGTTCCGAGTGGCTTACCTGGGCCTCGGCCTGGTCGCTTCTTCTGCACGAACACCTGGGACCCCGGGGGCGCCGGCGGCGCGGGCAAGGCCTTCTGCGGCTGGGCCTGGAAGCTGGGGGACTTGGGGGGCAGTGGAGGTGGGACTTCACTGCTGCCATTAGGTCCTGGCAGGGGCGGCGCGGGCGCCGCGGCCCTCGGGGAGCAGGTATAGGGGGGCGGCGGGGGCGGCGGGGGCGGCGGGGCGGGCGACTCCTGCGAGTCTTGGGCTGGGCTGGCGGGCTCCGTGCTCAGCCCAGGATACCCACAGGGTGGGAGGAGAGGGAGCGGGGGCGGAATGGGCGGGAGGTGCAAGGGGGCTAGGGGAGGCTTCGCCGCCTTGTCACCCAGAACCGAGGCCGATGGCAGTGGGGGTGGGGTTGGGGGAAGTGGCGGTGGAGGCGCGCAGGGAACAGGAGGCGCAAGCACCGGGAGGGTCCCTTTGGTCGGCGGGCCAGGAGGGGACACCAGCGCAGCTTTGACCGGGGAGGACAGGGGCAAGGGTGGAGGTGCGGGCGGGGTCGGGGGAGGAGGGGCGGGCACGCTGGGGCGGGGAAGGACTGTCCTGGCAGCGCCATGCGTCTCAGAGGCATTGCCTAGCCTGGGCGATGCAGGGGGGTTAACAGGGCCAATGATGGCTTTGGTGGGAAGCCTGGGAGACGGTGCTCGGGAGCCAGGGGCCTGCCCTGACTTGGTACCTAGAAATGAAACAAATTCTGGGTTAGCTCACCAAAAAGGAAGACCCTCCTCCCCCCCCACCCAAGTGTCTGGGCGGCACTAGGGATACTCGAGTGCGCCTCAGTGAGCTGCATGGCAGATACGTCTCCTGCTGTCCAGTAAGAGGCTGCAAGGGTCACAGCATTAAAGAGGCTCTTCCCAGCATTAAAGAGCTGCCCTCCTCCGAGACAAGCCCAAGCCTGGCCACCAGCCTTCCTATCCATGCCACCTCGCTTTCATCTGCCCTGACCTCACTGGCCCTTCCTCATCTCAAGGCTCATTCAGTGTCACCTGCTAGTTCCATCAGCCCCTATGCTCTAGTTTGCATCCTCAGGGGTACCAGTCAGAAGTCCTGGCCCAGAGGTTTTCCTCACTCCCAGCATTTTGTGAAGGACTTCGTTTCTGTACTGAGAACAGAAAATTCATGATTTCCTAGATATATAAAATAAGTAAAGAGAGAGGAAAAATCTAGGTCTAATGAAATTGAACCTCTCAGTTCTGTGGCTTTTGGAAGTTCAAAATCCCCTTTCCCAAAAACTTAAGCTGGCTATTTTCTGTCTCATCTTATAGGTCTTTCATTTTCTCTGCCCCAGCTTAATTCCAGCGTCCTCAAACTATGGTGCAGGCCACATGCGGCCGCCTAGGACGTTTATCCGACCCGCCCAGTGTTTTTGCCGCCATTGCCTGTCCTGGTTCGCAGTCGACTCAGCCCCGGGACCTGCTGTCTGGCCCTCCAACGGCCTGAGGGATAGTGAACTGGCCCCCTGTTTAAAAAGTTGGAGGACCCCTGGATGCCATTCAATGCCTCTTTGAATTCACACCAACCAGTTGTTCCTGGAAAGCACTTTGTGTTTGGTGCACTTCAGGGAAGATGAAGGTGAGGCCGGGTCCTGGGAGGGGCTCTGCACTCTTTGCACAACTCTGCTCACCCTTTCTTCTCTCTTCCTCTCTGATACATTTATGTTCCGCATTCACTGCTTAAATATGCCCTTGGACTATCACTGTCTACTCAGGAGGCATATTAAATTATTTCTTCCAAATATAGTGATCTTCCTAAAACAAATTCTGGGGAATACATTTCCCCCTATTCTAGCATCCCCATGACATGTTTTATAATCCCCATGACGACATAAGGAAACCCTGGGGGAAAAGGTGGCTTCTCATACCTACAACTTCCTGGGTGTGGCAGCATAGGAAATGCAGCTTTCATTTCAGATCACGAACCCCGGCATCTACTGGGGGCTCTGAGCTTTTTAGCGGCTGAGGCTCCAGTGTGCCTACTCGCCCAGATGCTAAATCACACCCTAATGTACTTAGTGTCAAAAGCAGGCCAGTCAAAGCTAGAGTGGTAGAAGTGACCTGTGGGGGCTGAAGCTAAGTGGGCAGGACCTCACTATCTGACTTTCCAAATGGGGGACCCTCTGGCTATGATGTGACAATTACCGGGGCAACAATGCTATGGAATGGCTGTTCTTAAAGCAAGGCAGTGGCATCATAATTCCTCTATTAAGGGTTCTCTTTGAGATGATTCTAGAAGAGAGAATACCTTTGCACTAATTAATCCACCTTGGCTGAGTTGATTCCCCAGGGGGTCAAAGGCTGGCACTGTGAGAACTGGCTGACCATGAGCAGGAGCAGAAGGACCCTCTGCCTTTCCAGGCAAAGGATCATCTGCCTGCAACTCCAATGTTAAGACACTTCATGTGATGTCTAAGGCAGGCATCAGTTCAGATTCGGGCCTAAAAGTTCTCAAACTTGTTCCCTTAGTACACAGAGGTGGCAAGGGAGGACCTAGGCAGCTCTCTAAACAAGGAGAGGCCTACCTATATGCCTGGTTGTTGAATGACTATTAAAGGGATACGAGTTTGAAAAATAGAATAGAGACTAACCTTGAATAACTTGTCCTTTTTTTTTTGATACAGAGCCCCACTGTGTTGTCCCAGGCTACAGTGCTATGGTGTCATAGCTCACAACAACCTCAAACTCCGGGGCTCTAGCAGTCCTCTCACCTCAGCCTCCAGAGTAGCTGGGAATATAGGTGCCCACCACAATGCCCAGATAGTTTTTCTATTTTCAGTAGAGATGGGATCACACTGTTGCTCAGGCTGGTCTCAGACTCCTGAACTCAAGCAATCCACCCGCCTCTGCCTCCCAGAGTGCTAGTAGTACAGGCATGAGCCACTGCGCTTGGCCATATCCAAACTTTTTAAGTGACTGAGGACACCAGGGATCCAAGATTCAAAACCCCTTACAGTGAATCAATTAAAAGCACAAGGTCCTCTGCTTACTGAGCAGCAGCCAACTGAGAATGTGGGCAAACCCATTTGTATCGCAATGTGAAAAGCAAGGGCAGCCCAAATCTTTGCTTGCCTTATAATCATGGCCACATGGGGACCAAGGTGAGACCCACAGGAAGGAACTGAGAAGGTGAGACCCTCAGAAAGGAACTGAGGGCATATGTGCAGGCAAGGAAAGTGTCAGGCCCAGGGCCAGCAGAGGGAAGGAAAGGAGGAGGCTGTCCATCAGCCCAGTCCTATAAATCCAAAGAAAACACAAAAGGAGACCAAGAAGTGGGTGGGAAATGGACATCTTGAGGACATCAAGGCTGCTTTGCTGCTATAAATAGATTCAGCTTTTAAAAACTGGAAATTTATCAAAAGAGGAAATATTTCTTCTTCCTTAAATCTGTACATGTTTTCCCGAAGACCTTGGTTTGGGTGGAAGCCTCCTTACACATTCTGTACTACCCAGTGACAATGTTTTCTAATTGTATCTTATTTTAATTGTCACTCCTTCAGAATACTAAGCCAAAGCTGCATTATGATTCCAAGGCCCCTAGTCACTTTTGCCTTTGTGGGTGCCTTCTGCCATAAAAAATTTCTATCTATAACTGCATTAGGATAAAGAAAAATATTATTTCTGACCCTAAAAGATCATGTTTTTTCTTCTGATTTTAAAATTAATTTAAATATTTTTGTGGGTCTCCAAAGGTATAGTGAGCCCTAGACACTAGGTGTTTCTGGTGTGTAATGGATAAGTCAGCAACCATATGATCCACTCACACATTCTGTTCAACAAATATGCCTACCCCATGCCATTTTCAAGGGAGTCAACAAGGCATAGTCCTTGCCTCCATGGAGCTTACATTTAGAGAGATAAGATAGACAATAAAACAGTAAATATAGAATGTGTCAAACTAATATAAGAAAAACAAATCAAGGTAACAGAGATATGGAATGGAGGGGTAGGACTGATCTTTGATATGGGATGATGAGTAAAGACCTCACTGTATGTTGATCAAGTGTCACTTGAACAAGACTTGAAGGAAGGGAGAGAGCAAGCCATGTGGACACCTGGGGAAGAGTCTTTCAGGCTAAGGAAACAGTTGGTGAAAGAGCCCTGTGGCAGCAATATGCCCGGTGTGTGTGGATTGGAGGACATGAGTCAGCAAGAACGGTTGGCAATGAGCTCAGTGATGAAGCATAGTCCTAAGTTTTGTTCTCTGGATAAGGTAGGGGTTGTCAGGAAAGTTCTCAGAGAGGAGAGCTCTGGTCTGTCTTACCCTGGTGTGTATCCAATCCATGCATCTACCTATTGGCTTTCTCCTTGAGTTTCCATCCTGTAACAACCATTATTAGTCACTTCATTATGGACCCCAGTCTCGAAAGACAGAAATTCTTATCTTCCTCAGCAAAGAGGCTCAAATCTCTAACATATGTGTCCCACTGGAGACAAGTAGAGGAGTAGGGATACTGTTGTCTTCTTTTGGCTAGACCCTATGAAAACTTGACTGGGAGGTACTTCTTCCATCACTATTTCTATGAAGAGAAATGGGTAGAAGCTTTGTATCCCAAAGGATAGTGGTGTGATAGCACTCAGGAATTTTGAAAGAAGAGGGCACTGAAGGATATCCACTCTCTTTATCCACATTCACATTATCTTTTTTGCCAAACTCTCAGTGAAAACGAGGAAATGAAAATGGCTGCTGAGAAGGTTCAAGTTGAGTCCACGAGTCCTTATCTTTGCTGGACTTATCAGTGGGTGCAGGCAACACATCACTGCATGATGTGAAACAGTGACAGAGGCCACAGAAAAGATTAGAAAAGCCATATCGCAAAAGCTATGGTAGAGGATCTTTACAGTTCTTAAATTAACAATATTCTAGAAGTTTAATCAGCTGCTGGCAAAAGAGCACAAGAATAGGAACACTCTTTTTGCTCACAGTAAAAATATATATTAGCCCACTTTCAATGCAATACTTTCAAAACATCTCGTGCCCACTAAAAAACAAATGACTCCAGTAGACTGATTACAAAAATGGCTTCAATTACCCACTCATGCCTGATTCCATAATCTGTGAAATGTGATTCTGCAGTTCTTCTCATCAGTAGGTGAAATCTATTTATCCATCCTTGTCTCCGGGCTGGCCTTGGATTTGTTTTGGCCAAGGGGATGCGGTAGGAAGCAATACTTCCTAGACTTCCATGTTACTTCCTAATAATCCTCTGAGACTCAGCCTCAAGAGACTTTCTACACTTCTGTCCATGAAACGAGCCCTCGCCAGCTTGTTGGATATTGAGAGACCATGTGGATCAGAGATGAGTCAGGCCAGTTGTTCCAGTGTAGGCCCCAGAGGTAGGAGAAATATGCGAAATACAAAATAAGCAAAGCCACCTACCCAACCTGCAGTTGTTTGCAGATGCTAGGGAGAGCCTAGCTGAGACCATCTTAAATCCCCAGCCCACAGAACAGTTGTTTAATGCTTTTAGGTTTCAGGGTGTCTTGTTACACAGCAATAGCTGACTGATATAATAACTAAATCATTATACCTTACACGTTGCTAGTGAGTCCACAGTGATGCCTCTGTGATTGTCTATTACAATTTGTACCTTCTGCCTAGGTGTTGTAGTCTGGGCCACCAACATGCCATCACTAAGTACTGCACACTATTGCAAGTCATTCTCCCACTATTCCAATAAGCTAATTTAAACAGGATGATGATTTCAAAGATTCCCTGAGCAATTGTGTGCTTTGGAAACTTCTGGTTTTTAAGGGCTCGAATACATGACCTTCTTGTTCACTAAAAATGTCACATAAAAATGTCATGTTGCCCAGTTGGTTCCACAAGTTAAGGAGATAAAGACCACAAGATAGGCCATCTGAATGCTTCCTTACCTGCTGCATCCCTCTGGCCTGCTGGTCGCAACACAGGAAAGCCACCAGCAAACAGGTCTCCTAGGGCTGGGGGTGTGTTCACAGCTCGGGAGTTTGCAGAACCTCCTCCTTCTTTGCTGGTCCCTTTAGAACCTTTAGAGAGGAGAGGCAAGCAGATCAGGACTGTGAGCAGAGCTGAGCAGACAGTTCTCACTGTGGTCAGGGTCTAACCCTGCCCTTGTCACCTTTCCATTCTCCCACCTCTGATGTCACCCTCCGACTCAGCATCCCCCCTCACCAGCAGACCCTCCTCGAGACCCTGCAGACTCACGTGCCTCAGCCTGTTTGCTATTTTCCTAGTCCTGTCAAATAACTGACCATTTGTGGCCAACATCCTTCAAAGTGACCAACGAATGCTGTCATTTTATAGATGGCAACAGGGGAACTAGCAGCACCGTTTGAATTAGAAAATCTAAACATGATAGGGGTAGAGCTGTCTTATTTTCAACTTGGCTGTGGGAGGACCAGACCAACTCACGGATTTTAGGCTGGGCACAGTGGCTCATGCCTGTAATCCTAGCACTCTGGGAGGCCGAGGTAGGTGGATCACCTGAGCTCAGGAGCTCGAGACCAGCCTGAGCCAGAGCAAGACCCTGTTTCTAAAAAAATAGCCAGGCATTATGGCAGGCACCTATAGTCCCAGCTACTTGGGAGACTGAGGCAAGAGAACTGCTTGAGCCCGAGAATTTGAGATTGCTGTGAGCTGTAAGCCATGGCACTCCACCAAGGGTGATAAAATGAGACTCTATCTCAAACCCCTCCCCAAACAAAAAACAAACAAACATAAAAAAAACACAACAAACCCCCTCCCCCCCATGGATTTAATTCAGTCATTTGAACTTCCTGCCTACAGTGTGTGGAGCAGAGTGGCCTGCAGTGACTGTGCTTCAGCATTTTCCTGCCGTCTCCCCAGCGCGCGTGGATGAGCCCCTCACGCTTCCCTGTACTTTTTCTTCCATGGATCAGAAGCTCATGAGGCCTGAAGAGAGGTGTTGCTAACGCCAGCCTTCCAGATGCACGTGATTACCAACTACCGAAAATGAGAAGACTTTCCGCTTCGACAAGAATTCCTGGCAGAAAATATTTGCAACCTGAAGCTAATATGCGTAGAGCAATTAGGGCACAGTGCCCACTGGTGGGTGAAAGTGGCCAGGTTATTCTGAGCATTAATAGTCTACATTACTCATTAGAATGATAAGGAGTGGAGTAAAATGGATAAAATGGATTTATCAGTTAATTGGTCTTAGCTGATTAGATAGTGGGTCTAACAAGAAATTAATTTTTATGGTAATCAATGTTGAAAATATTTCTCGAAAATTCTGTCTATCCATGTGCATTAACATATGTAGTCATAGATGGGGAAACACGTATGATTATTATTGTTATTATTTGAGACAGAGTCTCAATTTGTCACCCTTGGTAGGGTGCTATGTTGTCATAGCTCACAGCAACCTCAAACTCTTGGGCTCAAGCAATCTGCTTGCCTCAGTTTTTCATTTTTAGTAGAGACAGGGTCTCACTCAGAGTCTTGCATTTGTGAGCTCAAGCGATCAACCCACCTCGGTCTCCCAGAGTGGCTAGGATTACAGATATGAGCCACTGTGCCAGGCCTGAAACAATTATATTTTTAAGAATTTATAACTTTAAGAATTACCATTGTGCACATCATTGCTAAATATATGAAGACATAGTAACATCTTACATTTCAGGTTGAGTATCCTTTATATGAGTTTCAGACCAGAGTGTTTGAATTTCAGAGTTTTTAGAGTTTTGAAATATTTGCATTTACATAATGAGGTATCTTGGAGAATGAGACCCAAGACTAAATATGAAATTCATAAATGCTATATAGTAAAAAGGGTCCTGTGCTTAGGTCCAATGGTTAATTTTACATGTAGGAGGGTTAATTTTATATATTAGTTTAAATAATTTTGTGCATAAAACAAAGTTTGTGTGCACTGAGACATTAGAAAGGAAAAGTATTTTATCTCAGCCACCCATGTGGGCCATCTGTGGGTTTTTGGCACCACCATCATTCTGAGTCTGCAGGGACTTTCTTACACTTATTCACACATAAGTACTTCATGGTAAAACATATGACATACTATTGATACAGTGAAAAATGCAGTTAAGCAGCACAGTAGCCTCACTCCAATACCTGTATCAGCTGTCAGACAACAGCAATGACAAACAGGCAGGTTGTCAGTCTCTCCTGCCGTGCTGGGATTAGACTGTACTGTACAGGTTACTGTACACAGCTTTTTATTTTCTTAGGTGAGAAGAAAAATTCGAATCAATTGGGAGACCAGGAAGTGGGTCCTGTAGGCATGAGGGAGTGTTCTCTTGGATGGTTTAAAAAAATATTTCCTCCAGAGTAATCTACCTTATTAACAATGAGTTTTTGTCTTAGAAGTCTCGCTCTGATTTCATTAACTGATGTGATTTCTTGTTCTGTTATGAACGCACGTGGGCTGCTCCAGTCCTTCCAGAGCCCTTCACACATTTTCACCATGCCGCTTGGAGGCACTTTTTCTGCAGGGTTACATCAACTTCATTACCTCCTTCTGGCACCCTGTTGGTGCTCAAAAAGTTTCAGATGTGAGATTTGTAGAAGAAGAATGTTCAACCTATACTAAATAGTTCTGCATATACTATTTCATTTTTCAACAATCTTGACCCAAAAAAAAAAAAAAAAAGAAAGAGAGAGAGAAGATATTATCCCCCCCACCCCATTCTGCAAATAAGCAAAGTGGTCTTGGAGAGCTTCCCCAATTTGTTTGGTAGCAGACCCAGAACTCAACATGGGTATTCGGACCTAAACACAGGACTCCTTTTACTCTGGCATACTCTAGAAGACAGAAAGCTCTAGTCCTACAATCTTCTGAGACAGAATTCTTTTTTTTGCAGTTTTGGCTGGGGCTGGGCTTGAACCCACTACCCCGGTATGGTATATGGGGCGGGCGCCCTACTCCTTGAGCCACAGGCACCGCCTGAGACAGAATTCTTTTTTTTTTGCTTAATTTTTATTAAAATAACTGTGTACATTTATGGGGTACAATGTGATGATTTGATATACAATGTGGAATGCTTAAACCAAACTAATTAACATAACCATTACCTCACTTACTGATTTTTATGGTAAGATATTTATAATATACTCTTAGTTGTTTTATTTCTTTTTTTTTTATTGAATGGTAACTACGTACATTAATGCACTTCTGGGGTACAGTGTTTTCACACACAATCCAAAACACTTCCATCAAACTGGTTAACATAGCCTTCATGTCATTTTCTTAGTTATTGGGTTAAAACGTTCATATTCTACTCTTAGAAAGATTCACTTGTACCCTTATAAGATAAACCACAGAAGTGATCCCTCCAATCCCCCACCCTCCACCCATTCCCCCCGCCCCCCATATTCTTAGGCTGTTATTAGGTCGTAGCTTTCATATAAAAGGTTTAAATTAATTTCATTTCATAATAGGGGTGTGTACATTGGATACTTTTTTTTCTATTCTTGTGATACTTTGCTCAGAAGAACATTTTCCAGCTCCATCCATGAAGGACGTAAAGTCTCCATCTTTCTTTATGGCTGCACAATATTCCATGGTGTATATATACCACAGTTTGTTGATCCATTCGTGGATCGATGGGCACTTGGGCTTCTTCCATGACCTGGCAATTATGAATTGGGCTGCAATAAACATTCTGATACAAATATCTTTGTTGTAATGCAATTTTTGATCGTCTGGGAATATACCTAATTGCAGGGTCAAACGGCAGTCTATTTTCAGTTCTCTAAGTGTTCTCCAGATGTCTTTCCAAAAGGAACATATTAGTTTGCATTCCCACCAGCAGTGCAGAAGTGTTCCATTTTCTCCACATCCATGCCAGCATCTCTGGTTTTGGGATTTTGTGATATGGGTTAATCTTACTGGAGTTAGGTGATATCTCAAAGTAGTTTTGATTTGCATTTCTCTGATGATTAGGAAGGTGAGCATTTTTTCATATATCTGTAGGCCGTACGCCGATCTTCTTTAGAGAAATTTCTCTTCAAGTCCCTTGCCCACCCTGAGATGGGATCACTTGTTTTCTTCTCATAGAGAACGTTTAAGTTCTCTATGGATTCTGGTTATTAAACCTTTGTCGGAGACATAATCTGTGAAAATCTTCTTCCATTCTGAGGGCTGTCTGCTTGCCTTACTTACTGTGTTCTTGGCTGTGCAGAAGCTCTTTAGTTTGATCAGGTCCCAATAGTGTATTTTTGATGTTGCTTCAATTGCCTGGGATGTCCTCCTCATAAAATGTTCACCCAGGCCAATTTCTTCAAATGTTTTCCCTACACTTTCTTCTAGTATTTTTATGGTTTCATGTCTTAAGTTTAAATCTTTAATCCAGTGAGAGTCTAAGTTAGTTAATGGTGAAAGGTGTGGGTCCAGTTTCAGTCTCCTATAGGTTGCCCTGAGACAGAATTCTTAATAGAACTTTCTCCTTATGAAAAACGAAGCAAACGCTTTACGGATTTTTTGTGTGTTGGGACCTTCATTTTCCATTACTGAGTTTGAGGACTATGTTGACACAAGGTAGGTGATCTTTATATGTTACCCTGCAAAGGACACACAAAATGTGGTACATCCGCACAATGAAATATTATTCAATGATAAAAAGTGAAGTCCATGGATGAAGCTTGAGAACATTATTTTATGTGACAGAAGTCAGTCACAAAGACCACACATTGTATGATTCTGATACAGGGTTCCCTACCATTCCAGGCTGGACAGGGGACCCCAGTTTTCCTAGGCTGGGGCAAGTTCATGAAGGGAACACCCTTACCTTTTACCCTGAGCTAGAGGGACTGCATTCATTCCTTTGTCAATAACACTCCCTAACAATGAAAACGTGTTTCTATTTGCCAAGTCCTGGCCAAGTGTAATTCTCAAGACCTAACACCCCTAGATAAAAGAGCCCATGTAGAGCCTCCTCAGTTAGTTGTTCCCACACCCCCCAACAGAAGCTCTGGTGCCTTTTACTTCTTCTATATTCCTTTATAACTTCTTCTTCTTCTTCTTTTTTTATTAAATGATAGCTGTGTACATTAATGCAATCATGGGGTACAGTGTGGTATTTTCATATACAATTTGAAATATTTTCATCAAACTGGTTAACATAGCCTTCATGTCATTTTCTTAGTCATTCTGTTGAGACATTTATGTTCTACTCTTAGAAAGATTCACTTGTGCCCTTGTAAGATAAACCATAGAAGTGATCCCTCCAATCACCTTCCCTCCCCCCATCCCCCTTTCTAACTTCTAATAAAAATCCTGTCTTGCTGCTAATCTGTGGTCTGTGGGTTCATTCCTCGAATTCCCAAGACCAAGGACCTACTGAAGAGCCAAATTCCGATATCAATTCCATTTTGGGAAATAGCCAGAAAAGGCATAGAGACAGAAAGTAGATTTAGAGCTGCTGGGAGCTGGAGGCTTAGAGGGATGGGGAGTGTCTGCCAATGGTTATGGTGACAGAAATATTCTGGAACTAGACAGAGGTGATCATTGCAATAACATTGTGAATGTCGTAAATGCCATTGAATAGTACATTAAAAAATGGTTAAAATGGTGAATTTTATCATAATAAAAAGTTACCCACAACCCCTCCATAGTGTTTTGTTTTGTTTGCATTTGAAAAGTGGCGAAAGATATACTCCAAGCCACCTGCAGATCCGCAAGGAAATCTCGGATTCTCTCACCCACCAGCCTGTCTGTCCTATGAAGCGACTGTGGCCCAGCCATGGGAGGATGTGCCTCACAGGCGGTCTGGCCCAGCTGCTCACTCACCCTCAATCTGTGGGGCGCTGCGATCATTGATCTGCGTCACCTTCCGCAGGCGAGTTCCTTGCTGGATGTCAGCCAGCAGCGCACTCCGACCTTTTGGATCTGGCTTTCTTGAACTGGAAGTGTCTGTGCTTACCTGTAAGGGAACAAGAGGGATGTGACTATAACATCTGCAGATAAGCAAAGTCCTGTCCTGTCTTCTGTTTCTCCTTCCTCAGTTCTTAGCTCTCCTGCCCCAGTTCACGGCTGGTGTCAGTAATGCAGTTCCTGCAGGTCTCGGTGGAGACAATCTCAGGCTGTCTCCAACTTTGCTCACAACTCTTCCCCTGAGGACCTGGAATGGACTCTTTGTTTTCAATGACCCAGGCCTAAGTGCTCAAACTCTGGGAGATCTTAGGGAGCCCTAAATGATAGCTCCCTCTTACTCCCTCCTAGGTAAAGCCCCCTATACTTGGGCTCTGTGCCTACTTGACCCCTGCTCCCAGGTTCTGACTGATCACCCTGCTGGGTGCCTCAGTCCCCTTCTGGACCAAATCCTTGACTGATGCCAGCTTGATGACAGGTGCTGCTCCTATGCGCTGTGTTATTCTGGACAGTACTGAAGCTTTGCTCAATCCCGGGGTGCTCACATCCACTCTGCTGTGAGTCCCTGGGGACTTATATTCAGGTGGTCTGCTGTGGGCCCATTATGTCTCTTAACCGAAGCAGATTCAGAATGTCTGAGATGGTTTTGAGGGAGAGATACTCCTCTTCATGTCATCATGGAGGAGGGGGGAGAACTGGGGAGCTCAAGAGAAACTAGGGCCCAGAGGGGTCAGAAAAGTGGGGAGAAGGGAGGGCAGGAGATTATGATGAATGTTTACTGATGCCCACTCCGTGCCTGGTATTAATCCCCCCAGAACCTCATTAGTTTAAGGCAAGCTTGCCCTCCTTTCACAGATAAGACTGAGAGGAGGACCTTGTCTGTTTCAGGTCACAGGTTGGGGTTCAGACCCAGACTGCTGAATCTCAAAGGCCATGTGCTTTTCACTTTGCAACTTTGTAACTATCAAGGGCCCATGGTATCTTTAGGATAAGTGTGCTACAGACTGCTGAAATGCTTCTTAAATAAATTCTCAAGAACAACTTTTGTCTTAATTCTGTAAGTAGCTTGAGATCTAACTGATTCAGTTCCACGGCAGGTCAGCATGGCACAGCAGGTGTTTCCAAGGGTTATTGGAGACGGGAGCACCAGGGAAACCTTGGCAGGCTAGCGGCAAGTGAGGGGAAGACACTGGCAGGAGGATTCTCTGAAGGTAAGAGGTTTACACCAATGTGACCTTAGAGATGGCCGAACATTTCTCAAAGTTAGAACTCTTCTTCGCTCCTGCTGTATGTGCAGGGAATATCATGCGTCTTTGGGTTTCAGTATAAACATCACCCCTTTGGAGCCCTTTTCTCACCCCAAATATAATTAAGGCCACCCACTGTTCTAAGGGTATCACATTCCTTCTTCCTTTGTCACGTTTATCATGGTATATAAGTCTATATTTACATTTCCACTGTGGAAATTTTCCATTTGCGGTTATGAGTTTAATGTTCATTACCCCTAAGGACTCCATATCAAGAGAGAAAGTCCTGGTTGTTTTAGTCACCAATATATCACCTGAAAGAGGTTAAGTATTTGCTGAATGAATGACTAAGTGAATGAATGAATGAACAAGAGCTAAGGACACACACATGCACAGGGAGACAGGCACAGGCTGCAAGGAGGTGAGCTCCTAATTACGCAAGTTGAACTCTGCCCCCAGGTGAGACTCACAGAGAGGAAGACCACTGGACATTCAGAAATTGCCGTGTTTTTTCAAGCACTGAGATTGAAGAAACAATAAAAAATCTCCCAACAAAAAAATGCCCTGGTCCAGACCACTTCACACCAGAATTCTATCAAACCTTCATAGAACTGCTTATACACATACTGCAGAAATTATTCCAAAAAATTGAAAAGGAAGGAATCTTCCCCAACAGGTTCTACAAAGCAAACATCACCCTGATACCAAAACCAGTAAAAGACCCAACTAAGAAGGAGAACACTTCAGACCAATTTCACTAATGAATATAGATGCAAAAATTTTCAACAAAGTCTTAGCCAATATATCACAGCTACACATTAAAGAAATTATACATCATGATCAAGTAAGTTTCATCCCAGGGATGCAAGTACATAAATGTTATTCACCGTATCAACAGAAGCAAAAACAAAGACCATGTGATCCTCTCAGTAGATGCAGGAAAAGCATTCAATGAAATTCAGCATCCTTTTCTAATTAGAACACTTAAGAATATAGGCATAGATGGCACATTTCTTAAACTGACAGAAGCCATTTACTACAAACCTACAGCTAATATTATACTGAATGGAGTAAAACTGAAAGCTTTTCCTCTTAGAACTGGAGCCAGACAAGGTTGTCTTCTATCTCCACTACTATTCAACATTGCGTTGAAAGTTCTAGCCAATATAGTCAGGCAAGAGAAGGAAATAAAGAGCATTCAAACGAGGGCACAAGGAGGTCAAACTCTCACTCTTGGCTGATCATATCATCTTATACTTGGAGAATCCCAAAGACTCATCCTGGAAGTGATCAAAATACAGTAATGTCTCAGGATATAAAATCAATGTCCACAAATCAGTAGCCTTTGTATATGCCCATAACAGCCAAGATGAGAAGTTAATCAAGGACACAATTCCCTTCACAGTAGCTTCAGACAAAAAGAAATACCTAGGAATATACCTAACAAAAGAGGTGAAAGATCTCTACAAAGAAAATTATGAAACCCTAGGAAAATAAACAGCAGAAGATATTAACAAATGGAAGAACATACCATGCTCATGGCTGGGAAGAATCAATATTGTCAAAATGTCTATAATTTCCAAAGCAATCTACAGATTCAGTGAAATCCCCATTAGAAATACTAATGCCATACTTTCAAGTTTGGAAACAATAATTTTTCATTTTGTATGAAACCAGAAAAAACCTTATATAGCCAAGGCAGTTCTTAGAAACAAAGTTGGTGGCATCAAACAGCATGGTATTGGCACAAAAATACAGACATAGACATCTGGAGCTGAATAGAAAACTGTAAGATGAAACTAACATCTTAACAGCCACCTACTCTTTGATAAACCAAACAAGGACATACACTGGGGGAAAGAATCCCTATTCAATAAACAGTGCAGGAAAAACTGGATAACCACATACAAAAGACTGAAACTGGACAGGTACCTTTCACCACTTACAAAAATTGATTCAAGAAGGATAAAAGATTTAAACCTACAGCATAAAACAATAAAAATCCTTGAAGAAAGTGTGGGGAAAACACTTGAAAATATTGGCCTGGGGAAACATTATATGAAGAAGACTTCCATAGCGATTACAACAACAAAAATAAATAAATGGGAATTAATCTGAAAAGCTTCTGTACAGCTTTAGACAACCTTCAGAATGGGAAAAGATATTTGCGTGGTATAAACTGGACAAAAGCTTGATAACTAAGATCTACAAAGAAATGGACCAAAGCTTGATAACTGGAATCTACAGAGAAATTAATCAACAACAACAAAAAAGAGCAAGTAATCCCATATATCACTGGGCAACAGACACTAATAGAAACTTCTCTAAAGAAGACAGACAAATGGCTAATGAACATGAACAAATGCTCATCATCCCTAACATCAGAGAGATGCAAATCAAAACTACCCTAAGATATCACCCAAACCCAGTGAGAATGGCCCACATCACTAAGTCTCAAAGCTGCAGATGCTGGCGTGGATGTGGAGAGAAGGGAACACTTTTACACTGTTGATGGGACTGCAAAGTAATACAACCTTTTTGGAAGACAGTAAGGAGAATCCTCAAGGAACTCAAATTAGACCTCCCATTTGATCCTGCAATGCCATTGTTGGGCATCTACCCAGAAGAAAAAAAAATCCTTTCACCACAAGGGCACTTGCACTAGACTGTTTATTGCAGCTTAGTTTATAATCGCCAAAATGTGGAAACAACCTAAATGCCCACCAACTCAGGAATGGATTAATAAGCTGTGGAATATGTATACCATGGAATACTATTCAGCCATTAAAAAAGACAGAGCCTTTACATCTTTTATATTAACCTGGGTTGAGTTGGAACACATTCTCTTTGGTGAAGCAACACAAGAGGAGAAGCAAGAATCCAGTGTACTCAATTCTAATATAAAGGCAATAGATGATCTAACACAAGGTGAGGGGGTAGGGGAATAAGGGAGCGGGGAGAGAGGAGGAGGGAGAGAGATGGGGCGGTCACAGTGTATGGCACACCCCTTGTGGGTGGGACAGAATTATTAGAGGGACTTTACCTAACAAATGCAATCAGTGCAACCTAATTCCTTGTACTCTCAATGAATCCCAAACAATAAAAAAAAAAAAATAAGAAAAAAATGTTAACCCAGAAGAATGAGAGTGCCATTGTTTGTTTGCTTATGAATAAATGAATAGAACACACACACACACACACACAAGGAATGGCCGTGTTTATCAGGCTGAGCTGGCTTTGAGGAAGATATGAGACCTCAGACAGTTCCTGAGTATAAAAAGGACTTACAAATCCTTGCTAAAGTCATTTTCTGTTCAGAAAAGACAACAGGTTTGCTGATTAGAAAAACTCATGGACTCTCCAACATTATAGACTGGAAACAAAAGTAATTGTCGGGTTGGCTAAAATGTCAATGCTTTTTCAACCCTTGAGGACGTTATGAATGACGGTCAGCAAGAAATCTGTGAGCAAGGGGCCCAGAACTTAATTTATTGGAGATCTATACAGGGTGTCTGTGTGTCTATGTAAAATTTATATATAAAATGCATATCTAAGTGATATATACAGCAGGGTATTTACTACACAACATGTTTTTTAAAAAATGCTATACAAACCATTGATATAAAAAATAACTTCAAACAGCAAAGTTTTACATTTTTCAAGCCTCCTTTCATTTTATTTATAAATAATGACTACCAGGAATAAAGGATCAAGAAATATCATGATCCTAGTCAGGAGGGTATGAACATTTTTGTATAAATTTGACAGTACAATTTCAGGTGTGTTTTATACAGTCAGGGATTTGGGTGAGAAAGTACTTTCTAATTTTCCTTCTATGTAAGAGATAAACAACCCAGTGAACTGTAACGATATTCACAGCCCAAATGGTCTTGAGGAAGGCAAGGGTTACAATGGTATATCTTTGGCTAAAGCAACTGGAATGATGAGAAAACCCTATCCCTTACTACCCCCCTGGGCAGTAGTTTCCACTGCTTACCATCAAAATGTGTCCCCTACTCTGTAACTTGGCCCATTCCAAGCTTTTCAGATGAGGGCTATGAAGAATGTTGCACGTTCTTAAAACAGTGATTTTAATTTTAGTTCCTACTCAGCACACGCCTCGATAAGTCCTTGACAATTCTACAGGGCAGCTTTGTTAGCAGGATGTGGTGAGTCACTGTATGCTTATGTGCAGTTCAACTCTGAGGGCTAAATCTGACATTTCTTTGACTTCTGAAAGCTGTGTTCCCTGCTCCAGGGTTGGCCCTGACACTTTTCCGCTAGAGGGCTCTCCCTCACCTGATATTAACATGGCATCCTTCAGCCCTCTCCTCTCCCATGAGGTAGAAACGAATTAATAATTTTGTGGCTAAAGCGACCATACAGGACATTTAGATGTAATGGGCTTTGTACAAAAGGACATTTATTTGTGCACTGGAGATCACATTACACAGGGACAGTCGTTTCCATTCCACCAGCCATCATTTTATTTACAACTCAGCCATCATTTGCCTTCTTCAAAATCTCCTACCACCCCAAGAATTCTTGTTACTGTGGTTACAGGATGCAGAAACAGGAAAGAGAAGATTTCCAAATATTCACTGAACATTTTATTCTATGCAAATCCTGACATTGGCAACTACGCTAAATATGTAATCAAGGGAGAGAAAGTCATTCCTAGACTCTTTTCCTATGGCAAAAATATGCACCAGAGAATAAACCACATTCACACACACACAGCAAAACAAACAAAAAACCCCAACAAAATGTTATTTCCGAGTTTGCTCTTGTTCCTTTGTATTAATACTGCTATGGAGTGTGAGAATTTGTTGAGTGCCACACAAAGCGTTTGTTGACTCAGTTCTCCTACAGCAAGCTTCAAAAAGAAAGAACCTACAATCCCCCAAATATGAAAATTAGATCATCTCCTTGGCTGTAAAGGTTGAAAAACTAAAGTGTGCCAATAAGATTAGAAATACAAAAATTGAATGACGGCACTAACGGAGCCAAGGGTAAGATTAAAAATCAGTGAAGTGAGGCGCCTTTTCTCTTAGCTTGATAAATTACAAAACCTTTTGCATATCCATTTGTTGTTTCAACAACTGTGTCTAACCTTTACAGTGTATTCTGGAGAAAGGGGATGACAGTCCAGCCTAGAACAAAACTTTGAGGCTCGGTGCCTGTGGCTCAAGCAGCTAAGGTGCCAGCCACATACACCTAAGGTGGCGGGTTCGAACCCAGCCGGGCCCGCCAAACAACAATGATGGCTGCAACCAAAAAATAGCCGGGTGCTGTGGTGGGTGCCTGTGGTCCCAGCTACTTGGGAGGTGGAGGCAGGAGTCTCGCTTGAGCCCAGGAGTTGGAGGTTGCTGTGAGCTGTGATGCCATGGCACTCTACCCAGGGGGATAGCTTGAGGATCTTCTCAAAAAAAAAAAAACAAAAAAACCCCCAAACTTTGAAATGCCTGTCTCTCTTGCTATATGTCACCCTGCCACCATATGCCATTCCTGCACCTTTCTGATCCTGGTTTCTGCGAAACATGATAATAAAAATCCAACCAGATGGCCCAAATCTAGCAGGTTGTTTTTCTCAAGGATGATGCAAACCCTGTTGTTTTAATACAATTCCACAGCCTTGTAATCTCCTCAAGGTAGAGTCTTTAATGTGACTGTTAAATCTAAAGTTAGCGCCCAGGTTTCCAGGTACAGGATCCTGCTTGTCACCCCAGCCCTTAGCCTACCCCACCTTCTCAAATGTGGGGGCAGACAGGTGGTAGCAGTCAGGGTACTGGCAATCCACTATCATGTTGAATCCCAACGATAGCCAGAGTGACAATGTCTCCCTTCTGCTGCTACCTTCCTTATGTTGGAGAACACAGAGATCCTGGGATCCAAAAGAAGAGATTTGAATTAAATTTTTTAAAAACGAACTCTCCCCTATCAAGCCTGACACGATGTTCCCTGTACCCCAAATGTGCATAAGTCAAGCTGTTCAATAATGAGGCATATTGAGATGTAGCAGCTCCACAGCTCATTTTTAGAAATCTAAATATGTAACTCAAATCCATAAACAAAAAGAATGCACCTGCTAACCTCCTTCTCTGAAGCCTGATGTCTTAAAGTATATGCAGACTGTGGCTGTTACCTAGAGGATAGAGCTGACTTACCCTGTGCCATGTCGCTGCTCTGGAGGTAAAGCAGAATTAAAACTGAACTAGGGGGACTTTCACTGGGGCTTTAGGCTACAGGCGAGTCTGGTCCTGTTCTTTATTCCTAAAAAAAAATACTGCCCATCAAGGTTATCTCATCTGCTGGCATGACTTTGGTTACTATTTGCTGCAGCCACCTCCTTGCTCAGGGACCCAAAGATCATCCAAGACTCTTTCCTACTCCTCATTCCCAACAACCAGTTCATCACAAAGTCCTGATGAGTCAGGCTCCTCTTCTCCATCCTTGTGATACTGTCACTGTCCTCATGCAGGTAACAGTCACCTCTGGACCTCTCATTCATGTGGTCTTCCACACAGCAGCCAGAGTCATCTGTTATAAGGATTTGCATTCACTGTGTCATTCCCATCCATAAACTCCTTGCTGGTTGCCCACTGTTCTTAGGATCCACCCCAAATGCCCCCTTAGTGTGCGAGACCCTTAGGGGTTGGCCCAGATTTTCCACTCCTTGAGCATTCCAGACTGGAGCTCACCTCCAGGCCTCAGCTTGAGCTAATCTCTTTTCTCTTTTTGTGCTTGTCTCTTGGCTTTCTCTCAAGAAGCCTCCAGGTCCTGGAGGGCCCGATGAAGAGCCCAGTCTGTGTTCCTAGAGCAACATGCTTACCCTGAGCAGAGCATCTGCCGCAGCGATCGTGCTATTCTACTCAAAACCTGCACTGACTTTCTATCTCACTCAGAATAAAAAACTCGAGAGTCCTCATTTCTACCACCTGCTGGGCTTGACTGCATGTCCATCTGCTAGCCTGAGTTTACCTATAAATTCCAGCATCTTCCTACCCAAAGCAGTGTTATAAAGCAGTTCTACTGTGCGGCAATCCCTCCCTACCTACAAAGTGCATGTCTAGTAAAATATTTTGGTACTTATTTTTAGTCACAGTGAGAATTTTGACTCTGATATGAATTCCAAGTCTTTTCAGTAGGAAATAATTGGAAAAACAAGAGAATAAAAGTGGGGAATGAAAGGAGTAGAAATAAAGAAATAACAGAGAAAGAGAGATCTGAGATACCTGTAAACAGAACTGACAGAGACAGGTTTGGTTTCAGAGGCAGGGATTAGAGATTCTACTACCCTGGAGCCATAAATTCAAAGGGGTATTAAACGTACAGGTGGTGGATCAGATGCTGGAAAAAGTCATGTCTTTAAATGCACCTGATGATTATTTCTCTGATAAAATGAATATGTAAGTAGCTCATGGAAACTGCTCGAGAAAAGGGGCTTGAAGAGATGGTAAACGGAAATGAGTAGAGCAAGCCCCTGGGATACTAATGAAACCCAGCACTGACTGTGCCAGACATTGTGTTAGGAATGGGGGATACACATTTCTATGTGGGCAAGAGACTTGAACAGAAACTTTTCTGAAGAAGACAGGTGCATGGCCTGAAAAAATGAAAAAATGCTCATCATCTTTAATCATCAGAGAAATGCAAATCAAGACCACTTTGAGATATTATCTAACTTCAGTAAGATTAGCCCACATAACATAATCCCAAAGCTATAGATGTTGGTGAGGCTGCAGAGAGAAGGGAACGCTTCTACACTGCTGGCAGGAGTGCAAGCTAATATGACCTTTCCTGAAAGAAGTTTGGAGAATACTCAAGAAACTAAAAGTAGACCTAACGTTCAATCCTACATTCCTCTAGTAGGTAGATACCCAGATGAACAAAAATCATTTTACAACAAAGACATTTGCACCAGAATGTTGATTGGAGCCCAATTCATAATTGCCAAGACATGGAAGAAGCCCAAGTGCTCACGGACCCATGAATGGATTAACAAATTGTGGTACACCATGGAATACTATGCAGCCATAAAAACGATGGAGACTTCACATCTTTTATGTTTACATGGATGGAGCTGGAACATATTCTTCTTAGTGAAGTATCTCAAGAATGGAAAAACAAATACCCAATGTACTCAATACTACTATGAAATCAATATATAATCATTTACACACTCATACAAATGGTAAAACATATCTGTAGTCCAGAAAGTAGAAGGGAAGAGGAGAGAGAAGGGCAGGGAGAGGGAGGTAGCAGGAGGGAGGGCATTTGGGGGGACCTCACCTAATGAGCATAATGCAATGGTACATTTCAAAACTATTAAGAAAAGAGTCTAATTGTCTTACCACAACAAATAAGTAAGCGAGGTGATAGATGGGTTCATCAGTTCAATGTAAGCATTTCACATTGTGTATCAAATCAGTACACTGAACCCCATAAATGCATCAATGTACACAGTTATAATTTAATAAAAAAAAGAGTGGGAGAGATGACACTCTCACAGATTCTTAAGAAATTAAAATAACAATTAATTAATATTAAAAAGGAATGGGGGATACAGCACAGGGAAGACAGGCTCTTGTTCTCAGGGAGGGTATGTATATATACACGTGTTTGTAAGTCACAGTCTGCATAACGACATTTGATTCAAAAAACTGTGTATATGACAGTAGTTTATAAGAGTATAATACTATATTTCACTGCATCCTTTCCATGTTTAAATATGTTTTGAGTCACAGATCTTTACCATTGTGTTACAACTGCCTGCAGTGCTCAGCACAGTGACATGCCGTGCAGGTGTGTAGCCTGGGAGCGACAGGCCGTACCATATAGCCCAGGAGCGCAGCAGGCCCCATGCTGTCCAGTTTGTGTCAGTGGACTCTATGACGGTTGCACAATGAGAAAATCACTTGACAACAAGAGTTCTCAGAAAGTACCCCTTTGGGAGGCTACACTTGACTGTGTATATGTGTGTTGTGTAGGTGCATACATACATATTTATATATGTTTGTGCATATATATGTTTTTTTTTTTTCTTGTTGTTTTCCAGATCCCAGCCTCCTAGCTGGTCTCCAAAACTAGATCTTCATCTCTCTTTGAGATCACACTTAGATTGTCTTTAAAGCACTAATTGTCTGATAGTCCTCAAAACACTTCAGTGGTTTCCATTCTCCACCCCACAGTCCTTCGAGGCCAGTCACAGCCTCATCTCACTGCTCTGACTGCTCCCCCGTTTCTTCCTTCCTACTCCCAAGTCCGTGCTCAGGCTCCCTCCTCTTTGGGGATGCCCCCCACCCGGGCCCTGCAACTCTGCCAAACCCTTTAACTCCCTATTAAGCTCTATACCAAATATAGTTTGCTTCACAAAAATCTTTTTTTAAAAAACGTCTTCAACTAAGCTTTTCCCCGTATGATCCACTTCCCTGATCCCAAGCACAGTGTTTGTAATGCTCCATAGCACTGCTCCTATCCTGCCTGATATTCTCGTTTCTATGGCTCTTACTCCTTTTTAAAATGTAAAACCTAAGCCACTCCCCTATTGATTACCAGTGACTCTAACTTAAAAAAAAACAAAACTGTGTGAGCAATGTGTCCGTACTGTGTTGAACCCTTGGGTATTTGACTCTGCTCCCCTGACATCTGCTCCCACAGAACACACAGGCGTGGGAAGAGAAGTTGCTGCCTTTTGAAGTCATGCTGCAGTTCTGATTCTTTCAAACTGTCTTCATCCCTAGAAATGTGAAATCAATTCAGCATCACCTTCTTATTTTCGGTGAGACCAATATTCCCAGGTTTTTAAAACTAAAACAAAAATTTTTTTTAGATAGTCTTCCTCTGTTTCCCAGGCTAGAGTGCAGTAGCATCATCATAGCTCACTGCTAACTTGAATTCCTAGACTCTAGTGATTCTCCTACTCAGCCTCCTGAGTAGCTGACACTATAGGCATGCACCACCATGCCTGGTTAATTTTTCTATTTTCAGTAGAGATAGGGGGTCTTACTTTTGTTCAGGCTGGTCTTGAACTCCTGACCTCAAATGATCCTCCCACTCCGGCCTCTCAGAGTGCCAGGATTACAGGCATGAGCCACTACCTATGGCCTTAAGACTAAATTTTAAATTATAGGAAATTTAATTCTCAGTCAGTCCTGCATTGGACCTGGAAAGAACAATCACGTGAACTGAAAAAAAAAAAAAGAAAGGTCAGAGCTAGGTGCCAAGGACACGGCACTAAAAATAGCTAAAAAATAACAGAGTTTGAAGAATGCCTCAAAAACTGGTGAGGTTTCATATCTTCTATCTCATTTAGACAAAAAGTATTATCAAAAAGAAACATGCTCCCTGTGGGCAGGGTTATCCAACCTATTTTCTTCTCTGCCACCTGTTGGAAGAATAGTTGTCTGGGGCCACATATTAAGTACACAAACACTAATAAAAGCTGATGGGCAAGAAGAAGTTGTGAGGATAACTTCTGTGATATCCATCACCACAGATAAGCAAAAAAGTCTTCAGATAATCTGCATGTGGGCTGTGGGCTGCAGGTTGGACAGCCCATCAATTACAACTCAGCACCCTGTCATTCCTGTTAAAAGCTTTCCCCCATCTCCCCTTAAAACCTCAAAGGTACCTGTGGCTCCTTCCTCTCTCTCATTCAAAACAGCCAGTCTTTCACAGAGACTTGGCTCCTTCTCCCTACAGCAGGGTGCACACAGGTGGTTTTGGAGACTGGGGAAGGGAATTAAGAAAGGGGCGGCAAGATGCAAAGGGTGACAATGACAGAGCAATAATGAAAAGAAATGG